CTTTGTGTTGTTCTAAGATTTTTGATTAAAGTTAATGTTTATTAAATCTTTTCCATGGCAAGGATTTTAATGAGGGATAGATATTATTCAGGTGGCAAAAAGTAGTTTGCACTTCCTTCTAAAGAAAATGTATTTTTCACAAGAAGGAAGTAAAAATTCAAACCACTTAAACTAATTTTATTTTCTTTTACTATCCTTCAAAGCACATTTTATCTTCTGAAGTTTAAATTCCTATACTGACTGAAGATTAATATTTTCTATCATTTCAAAGTTGACAAAATTAGAAGTCAGCTATCGTTTAAACCCTCTGTATGAAGTGTATATACATGAATTACACAAAATCAACATAGAAAAGAAATTGTCTCTCAGATTCTCTTGTGAGTTTCATACCTGCTAGAAGAGTCAGCAATCTGCTTTTAGAACGAAAACAGTTGCAACTTCTCCATTTTTCTATTTGGTAAGATAAACACTGATTCTAGACAGTTAACTATAGATTTCACTACTTATTAATTTTCTTCTCTTCACTCAACTACAATTTTAAGTTTCTTCTGTTTATCTCAACTGAAGTTATTAATTTTATCTAAAAAATTCTTTAGGGGGCTGGCCCAGTGGCATAGTAGTTAAGTTCGCATGCTCTGCTTTGGCAGCCCGGGGGTCGTTGGTTTGGATCCCGGGCACGGACCTATGCACTGCTTATCAAGCCATGCTGTGGCAGGCATCCATATATAAAGTAGAGGAAGATGGACACAGATGTTAGCCCAGGGACAATCTTCCTCAGCAAAATGAAGAGGATTGGCAACAGCTGTTAGCTCAGGGCTAATCTTTCTCACCAAAAAAAAAAAAAAATGTTTACCAATAAGTTAATCCTGAAATTGCATTATTTCAATGAAGCTAACACATATTATAAAAGACCTTATCCTTTTGCACGTTTTTTAGAGCAGCGACATGTGAAGCCTAAATAAAACATATTGAAGGAAGATTTTTTAGTAGGAAAATGTGCATGGCTTGTTCATTCTCATTAAATTGTTGACTTAGGATCTGATCTGAACTACACATTCACTGCCATTTCTGTTTGCTTTCTGTCAGAGGACAAATAACAGCAATCCTTGTTTAGCAAGGAAAATAAATATATCCAATCCTTTCCAGAAACATCCTGAACTTCCTAAAATAGGGTGAATGGACTATGGGGAAAAATTATTAGCTCTTGGTCAAAGGAACAATTAATTCAAAACAGATTTAAATAAGGGCAGCCATAAGGCATTGGGTTGGGAAGAGGAAAAGGAAAAGAAAAAATTGTTTTGTGTTTCAAGAGAGTTTAGGAGATTTCTTTCAAGTCTAAAAATCACAACCAAAAGAACATAAAGCTGAACCAAAATAACAGCACTATGGTTCTTGGAAAAGAATCAAGACTTTTTTTCAATAAAATCATCAGTACATCTGAAGGATCTACTATAGCAACAATCCTATAATATTTATATTGATGTTGCAATATAAAGCAGTGTATAAATTGGACCAAAGTCATGCTAAAATAAGGTAACACAGCACATGGTTGACCACAGGAAAGTCATTTTACAGTGTAAGCTTTTATTAATAACAATATAAATACATATCATCAAACTGACACTTTATTTAAGACGGAGCAGTTATTCCCACAGTTTGGTTTCAATAATTTACATGGTTAAGTGATTCCATTTTGAGTCATTTTCTTAGTAAACAAGAATGTCGAATTAATGTAATTCATATTACAACTAAAAAATCTATGTAATTTTATAAGAAATGGTCTATTCCATTAAGAACCTTTCCTAGGGGCCAGCCCAGTGGTGCAAGCGGTTAAGTATGCGCGCTCCACTGCAGCAGCCCGGGGTTCACCAGTTCGGATCCCAGGTGTGCACAGACGCACCGCTTGTCAAGCCATGCTGTGGTGGGGTCCCATATAAAGTGGAAGAAGATGGACATGGATATTAGCCCAGGGCCAGTCTTCCTCAGCAAAAAAAAAAAAAAAAGAGGAAGATTGGCAGATGTTAGCACAGGGCTGATCTTCATCACAATGATATTGTGCATGTACACAAATGCATTAGGTGCTAAATGCATAATAGACGTATTACATTTCATCTGAAAAATATGATGTCTGTAAAACCATACAAACATCTATGAAGAAATATATTATTTCATTTCAAATATATGATCTCATTTACTTTGTAAATATCTAAACCATTTGTAAGAAAGGATACATCTTTGGGTTTTGATAACAATCTATATTAGAATTTCCAAATTAATGGAACAAAATAGAAAAAAGTACTTGAAACCATAAGTTATATTTAGATATTTGTCAAGAAGCCAGATTCCATGGGTTTTGAATATCTGACCCTTTGGCATCTTCCCACATAATCAACCCTTTAACCCAGACTTGGAGTAAAGGGAATACAGTATTTTTTCCCTTCTCTGTTTAACTTGGCTTAACTTTCTGTAGAAACTCCTCTTTCCCACAGCCTAATTCCAAACAAACTGTAATGTTAACAATACCCTAACCATGGTTAATTCAGTTATTTTGCCAGTTAAGCTAATGAAAGGCCAACATTATATATTGTTTCCTTTTTAAGTGAGAAAGTAATTAAAAATTTCAACCTAAGATTGAACTGTATTCTTATTAGTGAATTTCCTTTTTTTCCTCTCCCACTGCACTTAGGCAAAAATTCTCAGTCATGGGGAGATCCTAACAAAAAAGCCATGAAGGAAATAATATCAAATGATCTAGAAAAATATATCTTTTCCCTTCATAAGTAACCAATAGGTAATAGAATGCTAGAAAATGGACCACGGACAAACTCTTGAAATTATAATTTTTCCAGAGTAAATTTGGAAAAGTTAAATGCCTTGTTGCTTTTCTGTAGGCCTCAGAGAGAGAATATAAGAAATAATTATATTTCCTAAATCAGGAGAGAAAAAAAGTGAGGAATTTATCTGTGATGCTTTTGATAGAAATGAAAGAATAGCTAGGGGTTGAAGAAGCAAGACAGCCTAATCCCGCATAAGGTAATTGAACAAGACACTGTTGGAGGATGAGTTATTTCAGCTTTGCTCCAGATTTGCTTTGTTCATTTGATAGAATAGCAGTAACCAGAAAATATGTCAAAAGTCTCCCTTAATGGGGCAAGGGTGTGGGGGCGGGGGAGTTCTGGGATTGCAGATCTGCTAGACATAACACTAGGCAAGCAGCTGGCTAGTCTCTGTGTCAGCATTTTCCAGGTTGGGGGTCAGTGGAACACTAAAGGCCCATAAAACATTCATATGTGTCCACAGTGTGGAGGAGGGAGGTTGTGGGTAACAGTGTTAGTGATTACACAGGATTTAGAAATGCTATTAATTTATTAGTGGTTTGAAATTTCACTGTGCTCAACAAATGGTTTAGCTTTGTTTAATCCAACTTTTCCCAAATTTACTTCAGCAAAGAACTTTCCTCTCTGTCCCTCCCCGTGCACACACACATGCATACACACACCAAATCCTTAACAGCCCACGGGACATAGGTGTCCTACAAAAATACATTTCAGTAAATGATGATCTTCATCATTGCCAGTTGTTTGAACCAAAGGTTGGATGCATTGGTGGAGAAGGAGGTAAATACTAAGGACTTTGGAAATCTCAGGATATATTCAGTGGTATACCACTATTGATGAAGGCTAAGGAAAACTCAAAGTCTAATTCCCATTTTCAGGAACCTAAAAATGAATCATGTAGAAGCTTAACGTTCAACCATTTAGAGTACTCTATGCTGACTGGCAGAAAAATGGAATCTTTTCCATCTTTCTCTGTATCCAAAGCAGATATCTAACATTCTTACTCAAGCTTGGGTAGTCATAGAGACCACCAATTAAAGATTTTTCTTTCTTTCTTTGCTTATCTAGTTAATTGACTTTAAGACCTCCTCTAGGGCATTAGATATTTTCTATAACTGTAGTCCCTCTTCTTTCCCAGAGAAAATTAATTTTCCCAGTTTTGATAGGATCATAAGAGCAAAGCCTGATCCTTATTTCAGTCATGAACATTCTTAAATGCAATTGATGTAAGTGGCAATTCTGTTTCATATAGAACATAAAAATGAAAAACAGACCCTGGAAAGATTTATTTGATAAGCCTTGTCTCTTCCTATACAGTGTAATATGGAATAAATGTCTGGAGAGGGCAGAATTGGAAGGATATTGAAGATATGATACAGGAAAGAGTGTAACCCATGAAAGCTTTTGTAGGACTCCTCTGACTTGGAATTGAAGTATTTTATTGCTCAATCCTGTAGTTTCCAAGAGAGTTATAAAATGCCGTAATTATAAGCCATTGTTTTTGGTCATTTTGTTTTCTATATTATCGCTATACCTTGAAGATCCAAAATGTGGCTGGGAAATGGGCAATCCTGATACTAGTAACAAAAATATCCATTCTTTATTGCTGTTGGAGGAGGCCAGGAGAACCACATTTAAATTAACATAATGACCGGAATATAGCAATTATGTAATGATGCTGTTAAAATTTTATTCATGTCAAAGTTAGAGGAGTCCTCACTCTCATTACTGGAAGATACTAGAAGGCTACAAAGTAGAAAAAAAGAAAATAAGGTGCATGTAATGAGTATTCATTTAGTAGACAGTATACTGAATACGAGTTCCTGATTTGTTTCTTCATCAGCTCTATGACTGTGGGATCAAGTCAACTAATCCTTCTGAAATTCTGATATTTTATTTCTAGACTGGAGACAATAATATCTCCTATCTTACGACATACGGTTTTGCAGAAATTTCACCATGATGAAGCATATTTTGAAAAACACAGGTTGCTATATTTCTTTAAGATAGTATTAAACCATAGCTTTTTGACAAGTTTAGAACCATACCAAATGGCACTTTTTCCTTTTTACCTTCATTATATCCCCTTGACTTAGTTTGGTCAAATAGCACAATGTTTAAAATATTCAGTTCTCAGAAGAAAGCTTTTAAAGGAAGTGAAGAATTTGTTTAGTCTCAAAAGTCTTCAAACTTATTTCTATATGTGTAGTATCTTGGATCATTAAATGATAATTGTCATGTACAAAAACAATTTACCATTACAAAAATTAGGCTTTTCCTAAGCTACTGAAAAAGAAAACCATGGCTAGTTTTACCAACTTATTATATTCAGAGCAACTACAAGACCCTTAAAAAAGTTTCTTTAGCATCAAATATATTTAAAATTTTGTGTGATAGTATATATATATACACACATATATATAAATTATATATTAAAGCTAATATATAGATGCTAATTAAATATATTACATATTAAGCTAATCTAATGCTAAAAGCATCCCACTGAAAGGTAAACATTCCATATTAGATGCAGAGATTTTTAATGTTAGTCTGTTTAGTAAACTTCAAATTTCACAATTTGTAGAGGTGAAGAGATTACTACTTATTCCATCCCTGGAATTTTTGTGTAGTGAGTTGAAATTATAGAAACTACTTACATATAAGTCACATAATTTATATATTTTGTATAGATATCATCCATCCATTCATTCCTTCACTTGCTCACCAGTATTTATTGAGGATTTACCATGTGCAAAGCACAGTGCCATGTGGTAGGAATAGAACGTTGAACGAACAGACAGACTAGGAGTTCCGTGAAGCCACGGAGTCTACTCTGTGTATATATCCACGTATGTTGACTTTTCCTGTCAAGAAATTAACTGAAAGAATCAATGTTCCCTTTTAGTGTTTGCTTGATTTTAAGTTCTATAATTCGATAATACCATTTTTTAAAATCTTCTTTGAATTTACTTCAAATTAATTCAAAATATATTTGAAAGATAAAAGCAAACAACAAGTCTTTTATGGAACTGCTAAAAGCAATGTTTTGTGAATTTGTTGACAAATGTGAAATTTGCTAACCATCCCCCACACAATATGGCTGATCTATCTCTAGTAATGGCAAAGGAAGAAAATTAAAGCTATTCTATATTTATTCATATTGCCTCTAAAGCCCTATATGATCAAAACATGATTTCTGATGCAAAAATAAATGAGATCTGCCAAAATATGTCAAGAACACTAATCAGTACACCAACAATGATTTTCACACACTAGATCAGCATATTTCTCGTATATATCTCTGCCTAATCCCAGGCAGAGTTTTCAGCTGTCAAAACTGTTTCACAATTTAGGTATCTAGAAGAACCAGGAAAAATTGCCCTCTTAAACAATAATCATGGGCTTACTTTCATTGACGTTTGGGTTTATGTCAACAATAGTGCTGATCAGATAGGTTAATGGCAGCAATTTGTTGATTGGTTTTTCCTGGTGTAATATAATTTATCTCAATTGTGGGATCAGTACAAATGAGGAAGATAATAGTAAAAACCCATGACACTGTTGTTTATGAGGGGAATTCATTCTATTCGTTTCAGTGGCTATAATGCTTTCCTTCTCCACCTTTAATCATCCTACCCCTACTAACACACTTTGTTACATATTTGGTTGATTTACCCTAACTGTGCCATGTTTGATTTTCTCATATTTCTCCCCATGACATTTGTACCCCACCTTTCACACATGTACATTCTATCCATAACCCAATTTAAAGACCCACAGTAATTTCAAATTATTCACACATGTCTGTATTTACGGCATCCTTTAATTCACCAGATACTCATTCCCTGATCCCCTATAATGTAACGTCTAATCTTCCATAGGCTATTGAACTTGGCCCCTCCAAGTTCATCTTCATCTTTAAATATAGCTCCTCGTCCAACCTCTTCATCTTTAAATATAGCTTGTCCTCCATCTTTGCCACCCCCAGTACTACTTGCAGAAGGCAATACCTGTCTAGGCTCCCAGAAATAATATGAAATCACTCTGTGTGTCAGACAAGGTGCTTTGCTGCAAGCAACAGAAACTGGCACTGCCCATCTTAAATAAGAAAGAGAATTTTTAGCAGAATGAGGGACCTCATGGTCAATGGGAAGCTGAGGTCCTGGCCAGAAAATCATCAAAAACAAAGGGATCTTGGCAGCAGAGTTTACTTACTGACAAGTTCTTGTGACTGGAGCAGTCTGATATTCTCACACTCCAGACGCTTTGCTTAGTTCAACCTTCAAGCTTCTGTGTGTAGGAGTCAAAGTCTTACTTCTTCAAGTAAGAGTCAAAGTCCTAGAGAGAGCATGTAATTGGACAAGCCAAATACATTTCCATGCTTCCCCCGACCTATAGTCTTGACTGTTTCCACAGAATCTCTCCACTCGTGGTTTCCAGGAAGCTATGCAACTGTTATTCAGAGAAGGAGAACACCTTTGTATGCATCTCTTCTGCTTCTTTTGCTAGAAGTGCTAATCGTAGGCATAGCTTCATCTCTCTTGCCTATCTCCACGTTTTCTCTTCAAAGTCAGACAATACTTCTAGAATACCTCTCCCAGTCTACATCATTCATTAACTCTTACTTTTCTTCTTCGTTTTTTTTAATCTCCACTTCCTTCTGGATATTTCCACGTGGATGAATTACTGTCATCCCAGATTCAATAAGTTTAAACTTAAGTTTATAATCTTCCCTCTCCTCCCTCCTAAAAACGTTAATACCACATTATCCCAGGCGCATATGTACAATCAGCCTTCTACCAGGCTGAAAACCTTAAGTTATCTTTAATTCTCGGTAAATTACTGCTATGGTTCCTATGCTCTCTTCCAACTTGTCCATCTGAGATATCATTTTATTTAATTTACTATCCGTTAGTGACCCCATGTGCAGAATGCCTGGGCTCTGCAACAGGTCCACTGATGGGCTTCATTTAAAATGTCAACAACGGTAAGTCCAATGAGGTTCAGGAACTATTTGAGAAATGGGCACTGTTAATAGAAAGAGAGAAAAAGAGAGGAAGGAAGGAAGGAAGGAAGGAAGGAAGGAAGGAAGGAAGGAAGGAAGGGAGGAAGGAAGGAAGGAAGGAAAAAAGAAAGAAAGAAAAAAAAGAGAAACAGAGAAAGGAGAAACAGAGAAAGAAGGAAAAAAGAAATGAGGGAAGGGGAAGAAAAGAAAAAGTAGGATGGTGTAAATAAATGAGCATTCAATAAAAATTTAAGAGACCTAGGTTCTACTTCCATACTTTTCACTAACTACCTCTAGTAAACCATTAAACATCCCCTGGCTTTCAGTGTCTTCATCCATGAGATGAGTCATTAGTCTGTGTGGCAAAAGGTCTTTTCTAGTCCTAACACTTTAAGACTTTTCTTCAGAAGTGCCTGTTTACCAGAGTGTGACATTCAAGCTAAATTATCAGAGACCCCTAGAGTCAAGTAGAGTTCTCAAAAGGCCCAAGTGGTGCTCAAGATTGCTGGAAGGGAGCGAAAGAGCATGTGCTTTTCCACTCTTCCCTTTCTAAGAAATCAGCATCTGAAATACTGAGCCAGGGCTGGGATGCAGTATCTGAAAGCCTGGGTCAATTACAGGATAGGGCATCTCTTGCCCATGGGCTACAATATGTGGCACAGAGGGGTAATCCAAGATATCATCTTAGGAAGAATTTGAATCAGAAACCAACTAGACCATCCAAATGAATCAACAATCTAAAGGGGTTAGGCAGAAAGGAGAAAAATATATATGAGGTGGACAGAGATTCTAGGATATTTCTTTTAATAGAATTTTGTCACAGGATCTTCACGGCCTCAGGCTAAAATCTTTAACCTGGCTCTGTGTGTGTGTGTGTGTGTGTGTGTGTGTGTGCATGTATGTGTGAGTTTGGGTAGAGTATTAAAGATAAAGGCTAAAAAGTGATGGGCTAAAATGTTAGAAAATGAAGGTGAAATATATAAATTATTCTTTTAATGTTTTCAACACACTTGATAGCGAAGGGAAAAAAATATAAGTATTAGCAAAAGGAAAGTATTGATTGGAAATAAATATTTATTGAAAGCCTATTGTATCTATGACACTATCCTAGAGAGCCAGCAATATACAACACAAATATGGACCTAAAACTATGCTGTGATTTTAATGTAAAACTTAAATTATCATAATTCTAAACCAAAATTATGCTAACATCTTTGATAAAAATATATGTAATAAAGAAGAGAGTGTGTACATCAGCCAGGTTAAGGAAAATGGTGATTTGCCAAACCTCCTTGTAACACTGAGTTATAGGTCTGCCTGAAATTGACTGACCTCCTTACTATCTCACATCTGTGACCCAAGGATAAGTTGTCCTTCATGGCTCGTGGAATTGTTACTGGGGCATGACAACCACAATGAAATTGAACACAGTCAGGGGACTCATAGGACAAAAATATGGCCTAAGCTATAATTTATGACTAAAACTTTTCACAGAGCTGTGTAGTTTGCAAATGTGTGATAACAGAAAGTGAGACTGATGCATGTTAGAGGTCAATGACAGCAAAAATTTTCCTTTTGGTGTTCCATCTGTCACCATAGCAAAGAAAATTTCCAAGGACGACTGTTGTTCACACAGCTCTGAAGCTGAAAACTTTCCACAATATTTGGGGATGTAAGAACTGATTTGACTACTTTTTCTTCATTTATTTATCATTCATTCATACAACATAGCTATTGCATAACATTTATGCACTAGGTACAAAGAGATAGGAATAAAATGATGAAGAGGAAAGACATGGGCCATGCCCTCACAGAGTTGACCATCTAGTAGGGGACACAAGCAATAACCAAATAATTATGATGCAGTGCATTGAGTGTCATTATTATGGAAAGTACAGAGTTCTGTAGAAACACAAGAATTGCACCTAGTCAAAGAGTTAGAAATGGATTAGAAGAGCGTAAAATTTCAGCTGAGACAATAGATAGGAGTTAGCTGGGCGAAGAGGGAGAAGAAGACTCTTCCAGGCAGATGTATCAGTAAAAGTAGGCTACGTCATGCTGAGATAACAAAAAAGGTCTCCAAGTCTCAGTGGTTTATACCTACAAAGGCTTATTTTGCTTTCATTCTGTGTGTCCTTCATGGGTTGGCTGAAGCTCTGCTCCATGTCT